GCATGGGTCCTCTCCCTCCTCCTCTCCCTCCGCCTCCTCCTCCTCCTCCTCCTCCTCCGCCTCCTCCTCCTCCTCCGCCTCCTCCTCCACCTCCTCCTCCGCCTCCGCCTCCTCCTTCTCCTCCTCCCCTTTCCCCCCTTTCCTCCTCTGCCTCCTCCGCCTGCGCTGGCTGTGCAGACCAGGAAGCCCAGAGCCCCTCGCAACGTGAAGCACCGGCGACGCCCAGCCCCAAACTGAGTGCAGTCGGCCCGAACAGTATCAGAAGCATGCGCGATCAGGATGCAAGGGCCTTGGACGCCCATGTTGACGTTTCTCGAGCGGGGCGGGGCCAGCGCAAGCGGCCAAAGGATGGGCCGAGGAGGCAAGGATGCGCGAGAAGGATGCAAAAGGCCTTGGACGCCCATGTTGACGTTTCTCGAGCGGGGCGCGGCCAGCGAAAGCGGCCAAAGGATGGGCCGAGGAGGCAAGGATGCAAGGGTACCCTTGGGAAGGTTGCCCATCCTTGCTATGCGGGTGGACTGTACATACGGGGAGGCCAGAAGCATTCAAGGACCGAATAAATCCGCCGACCCCTTGGGGCCGAAGGCGCGTGAGATCCAAGCCCCTCCTCCTCCTCCTCCTCTTCCTCCTCCTCCTCCTCCTCTTCCTCCTCTTCCTCCTCTTCCTGCTCCTCCTCCTGCTCCTGCTCCTCCTCCTCCTCCTCTTCCTCCTCCTCCTCCTCCTCCTCCTCCTCCTCCTCCTCCTCCTCCTCCTCCTCCTCCCCCTCCCCCTCCCCCTTCCCCGGGGGGCTCCGTCCAGTCGAATTGGACGGGGGGGCGTCTTGGCGAAATGTGCCAGCGGCCCCGGCAGCTTCAATAATGCTCATGGACGGCCTCCAGCGGCTTCGAAGATGCCCCCCCACGGGGTCCTAGACTATCCGAAATGGCACCCTGTCGCCCTGTGATGGCTTCAAGACTGCCCACGAAACTTTCAAGACGCCTCCGAAAGATCGCCCATCAGGGCCCCAACAAACCCCAACTTCGCCCTTTCACAACATGACATCTAACATTTATGACAAACTGCTTCAGCAGCCTTGACCAGCGACTCGAGGCGGGCCAAAATGCCTCAAGGAGGGCCGTACGACTGCTCCAGGATGCCCCGGAACGGGCCAAGAGACGCCCAAGACAGCCCAAGAGGAACCCGATACAGGCTAAAGACAGCTCAAGATCCTGCAGGAAGCGAACCTGTCCCCGAACCTCAAGCGTCCCTCCCTGAGCCTATCACCACTTGGACGCCCCCGAGCCTGACCACGGTGCCCCTGACCATCCCCCCTGGACCTAGCTCGGGCACACGCTGGTGTGGACCATAGGGATCTGTGGATCTGTCGAGGGGGGTTCAGATCCACGGACAGGGGAAAGTGCTACCCGAAATCTGGCACCAATGACGCCCGATTAGGCGCGCCGACTCTGCACGGAAACGGGCCTTAACGCCAATCCACGTTGCCTAAATCCATGGTTAAGTTGCTTTGACCAACATTGGCCCCTGACCACGTCATTCCCTCTTGACCAACGCGGTGTTTTCCGTGTTCGTTTTGCTTCTCCCCTCGTGCTGTCGTCGTTCCGCCTCTGCTGCAAAACAGCCTCAGAACGACAACGGCCCACGAAATCGCGAAAAGGCCGCTTAGGTTTAGGTCGGGAATGTGTCCGCCTGCAGGCGGACGTCGCAAGAAACTTACGAAATAGTCAAAACAACATCCGACGTAAGCTTGGGTCGACCCCTCGACCCGACGCTGCCCCTGATCGGGCGTTGGCAGAACTGGGTTTGGTGGGACCTGGTTGAGTGATGTGTACTGGGGGGCGCGCCCCCGCCCCGTTCCACTAACCGGAACTGCCGACACCCGAAAAAAAACACGAGCTACGGCAGACCTCGTTCAGTGATTCTGGCCATTCTTAGGGGCTCAGACGAACCCCGGGCCCCCTTGCCTGGGGTCCTGGCTATACTCGGCGGTGGACAGGCCTCCCTGTCGCACACCTCCCCTTAGTGAAAACGGCCGGGGACCGAAACCGACGGACCTGGACCCGCAAAAAGGACGGCCGCGACGCCCTCTCGCGCACCGAAAACGGCCAACTCCTCAATCGACGTGTCGGGGCAGGAGGTCTGTCCACCTCCGATATACCCGGCCCGAGGCCCCCCCTCCCCGACCTGGGCGCCCCCCCGAGGCCTCCGAGGACGCGGCCGTGGCAGGGCGCCCCTCCTCGCTGCTGCCGGCCTCGGAGCCCGCGGCCGCCCGGACGCTGCTCGAGTCGGCCGCCTCGGAGGCGGCCGGCCTCGAGTGGCACAGCACCTCGCCGCGCGGCGGACGACGACCGACGACCGACGACCGACGACCGACGACGACGACCGACGACGACGACGACCGACGACGGACGACGACGGACGACGACGACGACGACGACGACGTCGACGACGACGACGACGACGACGACGACGACGACGACGACGACGACGACGACGACGACGACGACCGACGACGACGGACGGCGGTGGCGGCGGAGGAGGCGGCGGTGGCGGCGGCGGCGGCGGCGGCCACAGACATGCTCGCGTCGTAAGGAAGGCTTGGGCACTCTTCGGCCCCTGCGAAGGCCCTCGCCGGGCCCCTGGACCGTCAAGAGACGACTCGGGATGAAAGCCTGGCCCTGTGGAAAGGGTTGGGACATCGGGTGTCTGGGTCTTCGCACCCACGCACTCGCGGTCTGGATCCCAAGGCGCGATCCCGTGGATACGTGATCGCACGGATACGCTCCGCGCGGGGCGTCCGAGAAAAAAACGCCCCGTATCCACGAGGTCGCGGCCCAGGGGCCCGGCCCGCGAGGCAGGGAATGTGGATACTGCTGCCCGCCCAGGCGCCTCCAGGCATCCCTGCGGGTGGCCGTACCTGGAGTCCAGCGTGCCGAAGTCGTCGGACTTTCGCAGAGGCTGTCCACCGACGACGAGGAGGCCGGCCGGGAAGCTGCGGTGCTTCGAGACGGCGTCCTTGAAGCCCTCACCTGCGGGCAGAGAGATCCGGCTTCTCCTGGGGCTTCTCCGTCCCGGGGACTACAGCACGTACCGATCCCCCCAGAAGGACGGAGTCGAGAGCCGCAGTCGTGATTTTGCCACGGCGCCATCACTTGCTCACGACGTCGGATCGCAGGGGGCACCCCTGCACCCCTGCACCCCTCTCTCACCCACCTCCCTTCCCGAGGGCGACGTCACGACTTGCCCACGACGTCGGATCTCGGGGCATCCCTGCCCCCCACCGCCCTTCCAAGTGGGGCCACGCCGCAGAGGCACGGGGGTAAGGCGAGGAGAAGCCCTCCTGCCCTGACCACATCCTGAGCCTGGGAGGCTGGGCATCGACGCCGGACCCAGGGTCAGGTCGGGCATGTCCTCCTACAGGCGGACTCTGGAGGAAGAGCGACAGAATAGTCAACAACAGAAATCACAACTGATCAAACATGATCCCAAAGTCGCCCCCAGCCTTACGGGTGTATCTCTAGAGGCCTCCTAGAAGATGGGGTCCGAGTAGATGGGGTCGGAGGATCTCGCCGCGTCGCCGATACATCGGCGATGCATCGCCGATGCATCTGCGATGCACTGGCAACGTCGGCGATGCAACGGCGACGTCGGCGCGGAGAAAAGTGAGCCTCACACCCAGCCGCATCGGCGATGCATCGGCGATGAGGCACAATCCTCCGACCCCATCTACTAGGGTATCGGGGGCCGCCAAAGAGGGTGGCGTCCAAGAGGGGGGGGCGCAAATCATGGCCAGCGGCATGTGCGCGGCCAAGGGGGGCGGGGCCAGAGATGCAATATAATAACAAGAGGGGCCATGACATCTGGGGAGAGATCATGGCCCACGCCATGCTATCCACCCCCCTAATTAGTCCTCACTCCCCTCTTTGCCGCCCCTGGCTTACGGGCGCGATATCTCCGCCTCTGAGGTTCCCTAAAACAGAGCTAGGATCGGGATAAATCGCTCCAGAGCGTTCTGGAGCGCTCTCAGAGCGTTCCGGAACGCTCTGGAGCGACCGCGGCGCCCAATACATCCTCCAAACCCGCCGATTCTCAGAGATTTCGAGTTATCCCGATCCGATTTTGTCCCGATCTTCGCGTCGTTTTAATCCCCCCCCCGTGCATCCCCTGTGGCGCCCGCGCGCCGGGGCACCCGGCACCGAGAGCCCATGCCTTAAGGTCCATGAGCCGACCGCACCCTCCCTCCCGGGGCCGAGATGCTGGCGCGCGCTCCGGCCAGGGCCCTCGCGACGAGGCTGGCCGGGGCTGTCCCGGGGTTCCCGTCTGAGCTTAGGTCGAGCCTATCCCCCTACAGGCGGATTTTGGAGGAAAGTTTTGAATTATTAAAATATATAAGAATGATCCAAACAGGGCCCTTTCGGACGCCGAGTGGACTCGAGGCCGAGCCCCTTCGGCGGCCGAACGGGTTCCATTCCCTCGACACACTTGGAACTGAGCCCATGCGACTGCACATTCGACGGTAGGATTTTGTCCAACCGATGTTCTTCGCTCGACGCTAGTCCTCGGGGGCCCTTCTTCGGGCCAAGACACACCGCCCAACACGGATCCAGGACGGAAAGCTGGCCCCGGGTAAGCGGCCGGGACTTCTGGGGCTTCGGCTTGACAGAAAGCATGTCGGCGAAGTCAGGGCAGCCGCAATGAGGCTGCGGCACCCCATGGGCACCTGCACGCAGTAGACACGCGACGGTCGGATCGGCCCCCCCCCCGGGGGGAGCATGGCGCGAAGACTGCGGACGTGCGCCGCGCAGCTGTCGCTCGGGCTCCTCTGGCACGCCCGAGAATGGGACGGACGAGCCGGGGACGATGCCCAGCAGCGAGCGTTGTCAGGCATGCAGAAGCGACATGGCCAGCTGCTGGGAAGGCGACGGGTGTCTCAAGTGGGCATCGCCCCCGGCGACACCGACAGCGAGTCCTGCTCAGAGCGGGCAGCCTCCATGACTGCGAGAGGGCTCCCCCGCAGACCTTGTGATGCATCTTCGGGAAACCTTGTGTCCCATGGCGTCGAATCCGCATCGAACCCGTGTCGAACGCGTTGAGTCAACATCGAATCCGAATCGAATCCGCGTCGAGTCCACGTCTAATCCGTGTCGAATCGACGGCGTCGAATGCAAGACAAACATTTACGGGACAAGCAAGTTCCCACAAAGGTGCAACGCAAGGGGGCCCTCAAACTAGAAGAGAAAACAACAACTGCATAAACCTAAACTTTTGGCGCTCCGCGCGGATTTCTTGGATCTGCGCTGGAACCCTCTGCCTGGCGCGCACCTCTACTCCAGGGGGCGGTGCCGGTGGCGCCACCAGGGGGGGCCCAGCGCAGAGCCAAGAGATCTGCGCGGAACGCCAAATGTGTCTATGGCGTTTTTGTTCCTGTGAGCAACGCAGCGGGCCCTTAAGGTAGGTTGGGTTTGAGACTTTCCCAGGTTTTGGTTTAGAGATGGTTTCAGAGTTTGTTTTGGGCTTGAATTTCCTGTTGAGGATTGTCCGAAGATTCTGGCCGATTTTCTCGGTGGGCCTCCTGCAGTAGACTTGCCGAACCGAACCCTTACGTGAGGCAGCCAGGAACTGGGTAGTCGAAGCCAATCTGGCGCCAATCTGGCAGGCCCAATCTGGCAAACGGGGGCCATCTGGCGAAGGAGCCCACGCGAATCCACTCTGGCGAATGACCCAAATCATCCAGTTTGGCCAGGCCAGACTGGCCCTTGGGGCACAATCCAGTCTGACAGTCTGGCCTTCGACTACCCAGTCATAGTGCTCGGAGAGGTTGCCCATCCACACCGTGCGGGCCGGCTGCACCACGAGTGAGAGCCGAGCAAGGACTCCGGCCGCGGCCGGCCTCGGCCACGAGGGGGGCCCCCGACCGAGCTCGGAGGAGCGGCCCGAACGCCAGAGGCCCTCCTCCTCCTCCTCCTCCTCCTCTGACAGTCTGGCCTTCGACTACCCAGAGGAGGCATCTTCCCGGTGCCGGTCACCGTCCATCCCCTTCGGGACCAGCAGGCGCAGCGTCTGGCCGCCGCCCGCGCTCCTGCGGCGAGGGCAAGACACACACACACACACACACACACACACACACACACACACACACACACACACACACACACACACACACACACACACACACACACACACACACACACACACACACACACACACACACACAAACATCCACCGCCTGGGAACCCGATGTTCTGGATCCCAAGCTTTCTGTCGGGCATGTCCTCCCACAGGCGAAATTTTGGGGAGGAATGAAAACCCACAAATATGCAAGAATTATCAAAAGTGTTTCTTTCCCATCCTGATTATTTTCTACTATTCGGTGATGCTCCTCCTGTGAAGGCACGCGCCCGACTTAACACTCCCCCTCTCCCCCCCGCCCTGCAGGACCCGAACATAGCCGCCACCGTGCCGCCGGGCACGGAGTGGGCGTGTCCCCTCAGCCCCTTTTGCCCAATCCCCTGAGCCTCAGTCCTCGATCCCAAAGAATGAAGGGGCCCCGACAACAAGTTGCTAAATCTTCTTTCGGCGGTGGACAAACCTCCCTTTAGTAAGCCTCCCCTTAGTGAAAACGGCCTAGGACCGAAACCGACGGACCTGGACCCGCAAAAAAGACGGCCGCGACGGCCTCTCGCGAACCCAAAACGGCCAATTCCTGAATCGACGTGTCCGGGTAGGAGGTCTATCAACCTCCGATTCTTGGGCTCGTCGCGGCTCCCCTGGGCCCTGGCGCGTCTCCTCGTGCGACTCTCTCGGGCCCGGGAGGGCTCCACGACGGGCCGCGAGGGCCCCGAAGAGGCCCCGAAGAGGGCCCCGGACGGCTCGAACGGAGAAGCCCCCCGCACACGCTCGTGATGATGCTTTTTCTCAACATAAGAAAATAACAACTTCGGTTCGACACTTAACCCAGGGGTAATGAAGTTCGGCCTCGCCGCCCCTCTCCCCCGACCAACTCTGTCGTGGCGGGAGATAATCAAAACGTGGGGCATCATGGGGGGGATTATCGTCATCCGCGGCAAGAAGTGACATGCCCACCGCCCTCCCGAGGTCCAGGAGGATCGTTCCCCAGGCGGCGGATCTTCACCCGGACGCTCGACGCTGACACTCCTGGTCAACCAGCAGCCCTGCGGGCCCCCGACTCCTCGTCGGAGGCAGAGGAACGCCCGCCCCCCCGAAGCCCAAGAGAAAACCAAGACCGGCAACGAAACCCTGCCGTCGGAGCTCTGGGCAACCGTCTCCTCAGGACCTGCTCTCCCCCCCCCCCCGGTGGCCGCCCCGCTCCGGGGCCCAGCCTGGGCCACGGCACCGCTCCGCCTTGGACTGGCTCCACGGGCGGGGGAGGCGTGCAGAGCTCCCGGGCCGCCCCCCACCCCCCCCCGGGGGCCTGCAGACCACGGGCACGCGGCTCGGGTGCTTCTGGCGCAGCGCGGCCGGCGACTCGTTCGCGTAGGGCATCTTTGGTGCAGAGGCTTCCCCCATGGGGTCCGAGTGGGTGGGGTCCGAGGATCGCGTCGCATCGCCGGCACATCGGCGATGCACGATGTACTCCGGGGAGACATGAGACTCGGGTTCGGGGGACTCGGGTTGGCCTGACGGGGCCATCATGAAAATGACAAGACCCAGTCTGGAATTTGACGCGAGTTCCCGCTGCAGACATCCCACGAAAACTGGACCGTCAAAATCCAGGACGCGCTCGTCAAAATCCGTCGGCAAACCCGAGTTCCGGCGTACTCGAGTCTTACGTTTCCCCGAGCATAGCGCATCGGCGACATCGGTCATACATTTGGGCGGGGGCAACGGGCCGGGAAAACATACCCACCTTAAAACGTACCCAGGTTCCACTGGTTCGGGAAGGTGTTCCGCATTTTTTGGAATGCTATCCCGCGCAGTATTCTGTGCGTACCGTTTCATGGACCTACTCATGCACGGTCGCCTGTCGCTCGGGGGGGCTCTGTCTATTCGCTTAACGCTGTGGCATGACCTCAGGGGCCACGGAAACACGCGGCACATATTCTTTGCAACGTGCGTGCAAATGTGTAAACGCTAGAACACGCGTGTGTTTTTCACTCGGAAAGATTACGTTGCGCAAGCACAAGTGCACTTCTGTTGACGTTTTCTGACACCCGCGCAACCCCAACGCGCAATGGGGCAAACACGCGCGCGAAGGGGCCATTTTTTCTTAATGCACCAACGGCTGACACCAAACACATTGGGAAGCGAACCAATCGATGAGATTATTCCTTTACGTCTTAACAACGACGTTGTACCGATCCGCATCAGTAGTCGTTCCCACGACCGCACATGAAGGGGGCTCACGCATAGGCGCGCTTGCTGTTGGCATTGTTTCTGCGCCTCGGCGCGTCCACGTCGGGGGCGAGCAGGAGGGCAAGAGGGGGGAGGGGGAGTGGCAAGAAGGGGAAGGGACACGGAAGGGGAGGAGGGGGTGGTCCCAAAGGTAGAAGTTTCAAACACGCACCCCCCAGGAGGGCCTCGAACCGACGAGGTTCCAAGTTCGAATTTCGAAGTGCGAATTTCGAAGTTCGGAGTTCGAACTTCGAACTTCGGACTTCGAACTTTTAACTCTGAATCTTCTTTTTTGGAAGCCCCCCGCCAAAAGGAGCGGGGCGGAGGAAGACAGGGGGGCGGGGGAGGGGGGGGGGAAGGGGGGAGAGCGCGCAGGGGGCGGAGAGGGGAGGGCGGGCCTGGCTTTTCGCGCTCGGGGGAAGGAAGGAGGGAGGAACAGGGAGAGAGGAGGGGGAGGAGGAGGAGGTGGAAGGCTCAAACGAGGCCGAACGGCATCCATGAAAGTAATGTTTCTTTTTTCAGCTCCAGGAGCGCGGCAGGCCGCAGTCGACAACGAGGCGCCGACGTGCGCACAGCGTCAGGCCAACGCCGCGGGTGCAGAGGCCTCTCACCTCCGAGCCACGGCCAGTCCAAACGGCGCGCTTAGCCGTTCGCTTCACGTGCCAGCGTCGTCTCTCGGAGCAGAGAGGGATGCGGGGAAACCGTAAAGTTGCTGCACAGCACAGCCTGTAGTTTGTCGTGGAGCCCAGCGCACGCGCAGCGCGAAAAAAATGCACGAGGACAGGCTTGTCGCCGCTTTCCTTGCCGCGGCGCTGACGCAGCGCGCATCGGCAGCAATCAAAAAGGCCATGCATCAGCGGGCGCGCGCGTTTAAAACTCGCACAGGGACTCTCACTGTCGTCGGCTTTTCGCCTGAGCACCCACCTCAGCGAGCAGCCCCCGACGACGGGCCACTACCCGACGACTTCGTGGCGAGGCGCTTGCGCAGGGCGTCGGGCACCCCCGCCCCCGACGGCGGCGAAGGGGAGGGCCGCTTGTTGCCCTTGGCCTTGCCCTTGCCGCCGTCCGCGGGCTGCTTCGGGGTGGTCGGCTCCCTCTTCTTCGCGAAGGCGGCGCCCGTCCAGTCCGGCGAGCGGGGTGGAGCCACGACGCCCTTCGCTGCGAACTCGCCCAGGAGGTCTTCGACCTTGTACGAGCGCCCGTCGTCTTTCTTGAGCGACAAGCTCGTGTTGTAGTTGAAGGGGTCATCAAACTCAGGCTCCACGGCGGCGAACTTGAGGACCGCCTTCGGCTCCTGGTGGTCGAGGCGGCACGTGACCGACCACTCGTCCTCGCTGTCGCCCTTCGCCCCGCTGTAAAAGCCGCCCTTGAGGTCGTCGTCGGTGTGCTCGGTGCTCAGGGGGCGCCCCTTCGCGGTGTAGTGCTGGCTTAGCGCCGTGCCGAAAGCTTCCCAAGTCTCCAGGCCCTCGTAGGTGATCGTCGGGAGCGGGGTGTCTGGACCGACCCTGAGCCCCAGGTAGAGCAGGCCCAGCTTGAAAGCCTCGTACCAGCAACCGTCGAGCGGCGTTTCCGGGAAGCGCTCGGGCTCCATCTTGCGGAGCAAGAAGTCGACAAGACCGTTCTGCCTTGTCTGGTGGCGACTAAGGCCGCGAAACAAGACGACGACAGAGACGAGGCGCGACGACGACGACGATGGCGGCGGCGGCGACGGCGACGGCGACAGCGACGGCGACGACGACGACGACGATGACGACGCCAACGACGAAGACGAAGACGACGACGACGAGGGCGACGACGACGACGACGACGGACGACGGCGAAACTGACGTTTATGCTCTTGTGAGCGCGCTAGCGAGGGCGGCGAAAAGCCACGAGGCCAGGGAAGGGCAAACCAGGAAAGCCTCGAAAGCTCCAGGTTCGAACGTGGACCTTCGAAGTTCGAAGTTCGAACTTCGAATTTCGAAGTTCGACGTGTGCGAATTGGGCCCCCCCTGACTCTTGGGGGGGATGGGGGGGTGGGAGGAGGAAGAGGGCCGAGAGCCGGCAGGAGGGGGAAGGGGGAGGGGGGGATGGAGCGGGCGCAAATCAGGGCATGAAGATTCCTCCGCCCTCTGCCTGTCCAGGTGCTCGAACTTCTTCAAGCCCGCGCGAAGCCTCTTGCCCTGTGGCTGCTCCGGCTCGGGCTTCTCGCCGCTCTCGGCAGGCTTGGAGGTGGCAGACGCCCTGAGGACCGCCTTCCACTCCTCGTTGTGGAGGAGCGCGTTCAAGTGGTACAGCAGGCCAGGGTCGGCACGCAGGATCTTCACCGTGTCCTCGACCGTCTGCTCGATGGCCGCCTCGCCCGCCCTGCTGAGGCTCGCGAGGATGGCCGCGGCCTCCTTGTCTGCGGCCTTCTCGGCGCGGCTGCTGTAGGACATGGCTGCGCCGAGGGGCTCCGTGGCGGAGTTTGGGGGGCCGCGGCAGGCTTGTCGCCGAAAGGCTTCTCAGACGCACTGCGCTTGAGCCTAACGGTTGCCGAAGACGAGATGGATGGGGGGCGGGCGACAGGGAAGACGGGCGGGCGGAGAGGGGGCGAGGGGGGTGACGCAGACGGAAGGAGGAGCACGAAGGCAGACGGCGGACCGAGAGGGGGGGAAGGGCAAGAGGAACGGAGCGAGCGAGGGCGGCGAGAAGCCTGCCTGCAGGCTGAGGAAGGGCAGGGGGGGCCTCCAAAGGTATATATTCGAAACTCGCCATGCCCTGGAGGGCCTCCAACCGACGACGTTTCAAGTTCGAACTTCGAAGCCCGAACTTCGAAATCAGGAGGTCTAAGTTAGAACTTCGAACTTCGACCATCCAACTCTGAACGTCGCGCTTTGGAGGCCCCCCTCCCCCCCCTCCCCCCCTCCCGCCACGAGAAATGGGATGGAAGAGGAAAGGGGGACGTAGGAGGGGGAAGTTTTTCCGCGAACCTACTCCTCGGCACTGCTGCCTCGCGTCGGCGCCGCCCAATGCGCAAAACAACAGACATTGGGGCGCAGCACAGGCTGACGCCGAAAAATGAGGGCAGCACAAGCTTGCGCCTCTAGCAGGTGAAACTGAGCGGGCCGCAGCACAGGCTTGACGCCGAACAGACTGCGGACGAGCAGCGCCAGACAGGATGACGTCAAAAAGTGCTGCAGCGCTGCCTGTCATCGATACACACATTGCTTCGTCGCTCACGGAAGCTCCGCCTCGCGGAAGCGTTTGGCCAGTTCTTCCATGTCAAATGGAGCGGCCTCCTTGGTGAAATCGTAATGGAACGTCCACGTCCACCAAATCGCCTCGCAGGCTGCGCACTCGTAGCCCCGCTTCGTCCACGACACAGACTTCCATTGGTTCGTCGGCGGGTACAGCGCACGCCAACGGCCATTATAGTCGTCCACGTCAATGGATCCCCCCCGAGGGACCCACTTCAGCATCCACTTCGTGATCTGCTCGGTGCTCTTGGCGTCCTTCTCGGGCAGCCACCGCGGGCCTTTTCTCTGCGTCTGGCTGTGCGCCGGTGCGGGGGCCCTCCTGAAGTACTTCTGCACGCGCTTGTCGCGGGTGGCCACGATGTGCTCCCTCTCCGCGTGCACCGCCGCCACCTGCACGGCGTACTTCTCCACGGCTTGAGCTTCCCCTGGCACGAGCACCTCTCCGAGCATGTCGGGCGGGACGTAGAGGTCAGCGTGCGCGTCGGGCAGCTCTTGCAAGAACCCCCGACACAGGCATTCAGACGCCTCCTTGTCGGTCAAGTCTGGCTTGATCGCCGAAATCGCAGCCAGAACCAAGTCCGTCTTGCGGTGGTCGGCCGCGGAGGCGTCTGCTGGCAACGCCTTCCCCTTGCTAATCAGGAGAGCCTCCAATGACTCCTCTCCAACGCCAGGGGACCCCGACTCGGCTTGCGCGTTGAGCAACGGCCGCGCAGCAGCCGCGACTGCCCGCACGCCGATCTGCGCGCCCTTGTAGCCCTCAGGGGACGAGAGCTGGCACCCGCGAGCTCCGAAAACCCTCTTGGGGGGACTTCAGTTTCAGAGTCTTTCTGGCGCCCACCCACGACGACGACGACGACGACGACGACGACGGCGACGAGGACGGCGACGACGACGGCGACGACGGCGACGACGACGACGACGACGAGGACGACG